TTTTTAAAAAAGCTTGGAAACCTTTCCTGTTAGATGATTAGTGGAGAGACTTCACCAATAGATATGCCATCCAGGCAATTCATTTAGCCTTTGTAGGTACAAAGCGTTTTTGAGATATTTGCTCGTAAAGTTTCACCAGTAGATATATTTCTTCCAGACTTCCCAATCGCTCTTTGTGAGTACCATCGCCCGACAATCTGTTCTTATTTATATCCGATCAGGATAAGGAGACGAGGAGGCTATGGTTGGTAAAAATTAATTCCTTTCGTTGAGACCTTTCATTAGAGTACCATGAAGGATAAAACCAGTTCCTCCCCTCTTTTGAGTGGAAGTCAGAAAGTAGGACGGTAGTTTGTAGAAAACAGTTCTGTTTGCTGAGACCTTTAATTAAAATACCGTGAAAGAAAAATTTGTACACCCTCTCTCCTCCCCCCGGTCAAAATTTTACTTGACACCACTACAGGCCTGCGTATACAAATTCTGAGACCAGTTGGTTGTCGCATGTAAAAGTAATGCACATTCAAATACAGCATCTCAGCCCCCCCCCCCCCCGCCCCTTGAGACAGCGAAATTTAATGGCTGTCTGGCACACACCTTGGTTACATATTGCAAAATTCCAGGACTGTTGGAGCATTCCCCTAAAAGTGGTTCAAAACCGCATAAGTAGGTCCGGACGGACGGACAGACGGGCAGGAGGACAGACGGGCGGAAGTCCTCGTGTGAGATTGAAGGGACTTCGGCGCATTTTTGTGTGGTAGATCAGCATTCTATTAGCAATTCGCGTTTGAAGTTTTGACTCCACCATCAGTAAGATCTTGCCGGGGGCAACCACATTCCTTTGTCGATACCTACATCCGACGTCCCGTTCGCCCGCAGGTCGCATTCTGGATAATTTCTCTAAAAACTCTCCAGAAGATAGTTCTCAATTTGTGGGTCACTACTCACAGCTCGAGCTACTATTGGCTACACGAGAAAGAGAGACCGCGATGCGAGCTCTAAGAAACTTTTGAGCGCCCACAGTCGAATACCCCTCGCTCCCTTCCCCCCTACGCTCCTAGGAAAAAAAACAACATTCCGCCATGCAGTAGTTATGTTCGTTTACAAGATTTTTTCCAATTTGAAAACAATCCGACCAAAACTGTAGAAAAAAGGCCCCGTTCCTAAAGTTATGCATTACACGGACCCGTAGGCACATGTACACTCCTCGTCTTTCTACAATCATTCTTCTACGGTCCCGCATCTATCTAATTAGTTTAATCAATAAAAATTAAATTTTAATCCACATAAAACATAAATTTTTCACAATCGTATTAGAACTTCCTTTAGAAACCAACTGTAGCAGTCAACGGAGCGATGCGGTACGAAATCTCGAGCGCCACCAGGAGGTTGTAGATCCTTGTTCCTGGTCAAGGACGATCGCCTTCGGAACGGTTTCGAAACCCACGGGAGAAACAGAAAATTCCATGAGTCGAGCATTTACTGTTGACAAATCTAAAACAAGATTACGGCACATGGAAACGGTAGCGATTTCCCAAAGCGGGAACGGAAGCACAAATTAACTAACAGTATCTAACGAGAAACAAAAGAAAGGAAAACAATCCCGATTTATAAAGTAACGGTATGAAAATATCAGTTAAGTGCTACGGTTAAATGCAAAACAAATTTACACGTTGATGCTAGAAGGTCCCTCTAAATCATGCCGTTGCCTTATGTAGAATTCCCAAAATGCGAAAAGGAAACGCCGGATTTCCAGCCGGTGAGGGTACTCAGGTGATAACGTTGAAAAATTCTGGTCATCATAAAAATCTTGGAGTAGTCTTAAAATGCATTATTAATCAGCGCGCTTCCAATGATACTAAACACAATCTAATCAGACGAGGTTTACTGCAACAGATCTGATTAGCTACCGCTATTTTATGCTCATCCAAATGGCCGGGCTGAAATTTTCAAAATCGGTAGCCTGGTAATATCCATTGTTAACTTGGAATCTTGGGATCAGGCGAGAGATGGGTTTCATCACGGCCTTGCTTGCTTTAATACTCATTTTCAGTTAACATTTGAAAACTAAAATCGACTCTTGAGAATGTAACGGGAACCATAACATATTAATTTTCTCTGGTCTTCCAAAGGACGCGGGCGTCCGGAGGCTGGAAAATAATTAAAATATCTCTACGGGGGCAATTAAAAGGCTGAAAAATTAGATACAGAATCTTGGTTTACTTATCTGCGGCTAAAACAGCGCTACAAATTAAAGCTTTTACCTTCTATTTCAAAATCCTATAAAAGAAATGCATAAGTGGAGACTGCATTCGTTAATCGGCCTCCTACTCTCAGTAGTCCCATTGCATCCAGGAAGGGACTGAGTGTCTTGAGGTTGAGGGTTTTTTTGGTTCCCGTTAACAACTTGGCCAACAGTACTACTCCACAGAGCTCCAACTGCGGTAGTATATTGATCGGGGCCACCTTAGATTGGGCTGTTAACATCGCTGTTTTTCTTTGTCAATTTGTACACAGTACCCGGCTGTATACCACGACGCCGCATTAGTATTTACAACTCTTAACGCTACATCCGGCTCGAAGGCCCAAATAGAAAGTTAGGGTTGTAAATTCAGTCGGTGATTCTTATATATTTAAAACCCTGTACGTTACCGACAGTTCGAAGATTGTTAACTGATAATATTTACCGTAAGAGTTTACATGCTATATATATCACAGATTTACTTAAACTACGTCAATTATGTTTTTATGCAGGAAATGCTGATATGCCATCCTTGCCAACAATGTGCTTAGTATTGTTTTACTAGCTTTGCAGTTTACTTCCTGTTAGTAAAGTAGTATACACATTTCCTTATTATTCTGCATTTCCTTGTTATTCTTGAAGATTATATTTCCGTAATCTGTTCTAAATGAACATCTTAGGCCGCTAGCAAGAAAGTAGGTCTGTTTTTATGTTATATCTTATGTTTCAAATGCGTGCGAAAGCTAGCGGCACCAGGGAGTTCTGGGGTATCGCGTGATTGTTTCAGATTACAAGGGGATTTTGTTAATTTTACAGTCGTTATCGAGCCTAAGATTTACTGATTCGCGGAATTTCACTCCACGTTGAGTCGATTTATGGGTGTTAAGAAATTTGATTGGACAGAAAAATTAGTGTTTATTGGTGGAAAAGGTTTGTGTTTTGGAATGAGTGTCCCTCAAAAAGAAAAAGTAGTGAGAAGGTCGAACCGTCAGGCAATGCGCATTGAACCTTGGGCTAAGTCACGTTAACCACCTGTAAATGTTAGTAGGGTAGATTTTTTATGTTGTGTTAGAGTTCGCGTTGCACGTCAATTAGCGCAAACCTGTTAGCGGTTAAGTCGGTCGCCTGTAAATCACCGTAAAAGGTTTCTTATTTCGTGCACATTTTCGTGTTGAACCGCGAGCGATGTGAAGTCAACCACCTATAATTTAGCGGTTCAGTGCACTGTTGCCATGTATTTCGACATGTATAACATGCATCGAAAACTATTATGTCAAAATAGTGCTTCAATTGTGGATCCAGAAGAGGAAGAACTGGACGGTAAGGATGAGATCGTGGTGGATAAAAGCGATGAGGAAGAAGAAGACGATAGTGAAGATTCTTTTTCATTATTTATACACTGTGTCCAAGATAAGGATGTCTACCATGGTAATCTCCGAAACCATCGAAGATACGAAGATGGTTAAATTAGGGAAAAGTTGGGCAATTAAAGGATTATTATCATGCTGTAAAGAAGAGATATGACAGAATAACCGAAATGTACAGATTTTGCTATTATTTTTCTTATTTGATTTGATTTGACCAGAAACAGAAAAATAAAAAAACATTTTCTCATTACCACTTCTTGAGATCTGCACGACACTGATTTTCAATACAACGTTTCGTTTTTAGAAATCATCTTAATGTCCTTAATGTCTTATACCGCCCGTAAAAACGTACACACTGTATTAAGTAGCGTAGAATATCTATCGGATACATTTTCTGGAAAAAAAAATATATTCGATAGATAGAAACTCATCCAAATTCTGCGTAATTATCAAGGGCATCGATGTAGGTCGAAATATTCAAGTAGATAACAACGGAGTAACAGAAAGAAATGAAAATAAACCAGAAAGTAAAAGTGTCAAAGAATTAATCAGTGTTAAAGCAAATATTGCGTAACGTCACCTAGGGCGTAATAAACTAAGTTTGTCAGAAAAGATGGCAGCGTGTTCTCCTTTCTTCCAAGTCACGATCAAATTTATTCTTTGGTGCAGGGAGTGCACACTCAGAGGATTAAAAAAAAACGAAAGTTTATAACGACAAAAACTACATCGGCGTGAACTATAGCGGAAGAATAAGGAACTATGAAATACAACCCTACCAACAAAACTAACTACAACGAGAACTTGTACTAGAAATACACAGATGGCGTAACGGTTACTAAAAAAAAATATAAACTTTGAATATTGAATGTAAAAAAAACGTCTCAATGACTAAGATTTGTTCCTAAGTTATATCTACATTTCTATTGCTTAGTTTATGTTGAATATCGTCATTTCGTTTTTCATTCGTTTACAATTCGATCTTATCGCAAACCTTGTCATGCTGAAAAGAACAAAAGTAATTTTATAAAGGAAATCACTGAGCTTCGCAAGGAAGAATAGAATGTAATATTTTTTGCATGCGCCAAACGTCTAAAACGAAAAGAAAAAATCTACGTTTCTAGCAAATTAAAAGGGGTTGTTTGGAACCCTTCAGTTACCTCACGGGTAAGCGAAGCAAAATGGAAATTGGAAATGTGTACAGAGAAAGAGACCATGCCTGATTAACTTTAATTTGCATAATTGGAACTTGAAGAGTAAAGTGCCGGTGTGACATAAATTTCTCGATTAATTCTCCAGTTTTATAGTTGAGCGAATTTCATAATCCATCCAACTTTCACGCAAATTCGAATCAGAATATTAATTGTTAATCTAATCGAGATTAATTTTTGTTGCAGTGAAATACCTGAGGGAGGTAACGCCGTACTTTCGCAAGGCGAGTATAATATCAGAAGTGGGATGGGAGCTGCAGAGAGGGTTTTTGTCCGGAGCCCCGCCGGCTGTCAGATCACCGCAAAGGGCAGACACGCGCTATTTACCATTGCAACTGTGTCATCTTGCCAGAGGATTTAAATATCCGGATCCAGGTGAGTGTTGCTCCGCTGATATGAGTAATGTATTCAATAAAGTACTTTAAAGCGTAGAATTTAAATTCGGTCGCCATTCCAGTGTACGAGTACAGACATGATTTGATTTTCAATTTTCCAATAAAGATTTTTAATTACAAATGTAGGTGGGCGCGGCGGAAAATTATGAAAGAGGAATGAACGTAACTTCGGCGCTAGTTCGTATTTATTTTTTATGTTCCCCTTTTCAAGGAACAATGGAACGTAATTTTTAAGTAGAATATTTCCTTTAATTTCGTAAAGGGAATGCCATAAAAATGTCGCGTTAAACTTGAATAGCCGTTATTTTCCGATTTCGCTCCTCTATTTTATCGCAAAACTGTTCAGACTCCAGTAACTAAAAGGGGGTTACACTTAAATTCTAAGGTTTTACAATCGTTTTTATGTTTAATTTAATGTATATTTTACCACTCATTAAAAGGAAATCGGATAATAAAATATAGCAAGTTTCTAGCGTTAACGTCAAACTTTGGCCAAAGTTTACGACAACGTATGCGTCTGTTCCCCCATTTCTCCTGTTGTTTTTTTTAATTCATAGTTTTGGAAGCCCTACTCTCCGACAATACGCTTAACTTGGGAAGTATGGACGCCCATTTCACCCACTGGTTCATTCAGAAAAGCATTATTGTTTTAGTTCTTCAACAGTTTTTTTCCACATTCGTCTTTATTTTTCTATTTTTGAACTGTGTAATACATCTTAGAAGTCTCAGATTCGGAAATGTAATTTTGACTTACATTGTACTTGCAGTTGCCAAATTTGAGAAAAAATTATAAACTTGTGTGTTGGAATTATCGACCATGGCCACCTTCAAACCTCAGTAACGGTAGGCTGGGACTAGGGTATTAGAAGGTGTTAGGTGATACACCACCGGGAAGTGAATTGCGTCCGCGTTAATAATAATGAATGTAAGGGTGTCTTTTCTTCAGTAGAAGCATATTATTGTTGTTCACGGTATATTTTGTTGAGAGATCATCGTAACTTTTGGGAAGCAGTTGAACAGGATTTGACCTACACAATTTTAGCACGATATTTGCCATGTCGCGTCGTGGTTATGGTCGGACTTCGTCTTCCTTTTTCATTTGTGCACATCATTAAAAACCAACAGCTGAAGCGTTAGTTTAGAACGCATGGAATTTTAAGTGCCATCATCCATATTTTATTAACCACTGATTCCGGACTCCGGAAATATTGTTAGGACGGATTCATCTAAAAGTTCCGTAGGCGTTCTTTTCTCTTTATTGCTTCGGGTGATATTTGTCATATTACAATTTCCATCGACGATTGTTGCATTCATCTATAATTAGCCCTCTGATTTAAGTGGATTGTAATTGTAGGGTTCAAGTGAGTTCAAAATCTAGTTTTAATTGACCAGGTTAAGAGCGGACACGCTATACTTTCCATTTTGTCGACGTAGTACGAGTTTGGAGTTGATTTGATGTTGGGATTCGATCCTCAACAAAGAGACAACTTCCATAACACTTTAGCGTATTAATTAGTAACTACCCGTCTGGGTTATATGCTATCAAATTTAAGTCATTTGTTATTATTTTTTATTATACCTGAATCACAATCTCCGTTTAAAACACTCAAATGCGTGCGAAAAAAGGCCTTTAAAACACACGTGCTTTAAAGTTGCTAAGTAACGATACTTCAAGTATGACTTTTGAAACTGTCATCTGGGTGAAATAAAAAATCTTCCTAAGTCGCTTTCTGTAAATGCAGAACATTTCTTTGGCTTGTACCTATCCTTTGGTTGAAGCTTTTACAAATGCGCGTAATTTAGGGTATGCTTCCAAATCTGTTTCACTTTTTAGTCCCATTAATTATCAAGCCTTGTTAAGACAACCAACCGGGGGGTTGTCTTAACAAGGCTTGATAATTAATTCGTCTTGAAACTTAGGACAACCTTTCCGTTTTAACCACCCTTCAGGTTCTTCACTTGGCTTCGGCCAGTTTATAATTAAAAAAACAACATGTTCGTCTTATCCGTCTTCAACGTTTGTAATTTACCGTTTTCCTGTTAACTTTCACAGTAAGTACTAGCTCTTAATGTTTTCAAATTTGCTATATTGTGATACACTTCTAGTCGCCTGATGATGGCAGTACGCCGAAACTATAGTCGCTGTTATTTTTAAAACTTCAACGAATAAAACTATATGGGGAAGGTTTAGAGATTTTTGATAACATAATATATTTCAACCCCCATTTCGAGGAACGATGGATCCAACTCAAAAAAAAAATTCATACGTCCAGGACACCATACCGTGACTTATAAGAACACACAAAAACATTTCACCGTCAATTATTAACGAAATCATTTGTTTAATGGAAATAGCGTAATACTAGGTACTTAGAAAGTTTACCTTTATCAATTACTCACATTCTCCGTGCCGATCGCTGTGGCGCAAATAGAATTAGTACGAATGAGAATTCATAAATTTTGTATCAAGCTACGTAATATGACTACACAATTGGGTTTCTCAATTCCAATAGTTCATCAATTTAATGTGCAATGTCAAATTGTTCCTCATAACCCAATCGAGATAAATGAGGCTACCACTGAACTGCCACTCCTACAGCAATTTAATTTCATTATCCCGGTTATATTTTATGTCCTTAATTCCTACAAAGTAATTGATTGCGCTTTCTTAAGGGAGGTTGCATTTTGTTAATCAAACAAACCGACGCCAATTTTTCTCTTCTTTCCAACGGATTTCTCATCTTGGTTTAAAATGTACGCAAGTATTATTACAAAGACGCTTTACTTCATTCCGTATTATATTGTAAGATAAATATTAGTAATGATCGATTTCATCACCCGCCATTGCCCATTGTGCAAACGTTTTAAATAAAAATAAATTTCAGATACGAATTTCATATGCTGGTTTAATTTTGCCTCAGTGCGCACGATTTTATTTGACATTCTCGACAACATTGAGAGACCATTAATTACCCTCGAATTTATAAAGATTACTTTATCTGTAGAGTCATTTATTATTTTGTTGTCCGTGTACGTACCAAAAAAATAGCGATTTACGTCACACTTTTGTTGACTAAATTGATTGTTGTACACCACTCAATTAAGGAGAAGAAAATTTATACGTGTAGGTACTAAGTGATTGATGCGTTGCGTCGAAAATCAAACATCAATCACGTTCGGTAATAATGGTAGGGTGGAGTTACTTGCTAAATATTTAGGTGAAAACGACACAGCTGTTTAGGCAAGGGAATAATGAAAATGTATCGATTGGTGGTGTATAAGTTCATGTGCGGGTAGGTACATACGCATCGGCCTATAATGCGTAAAATGAAAAGTTTTCAAATATCCTGCTCTTTAGGATTTTTCGGTAATCCTTTTCGTCGCCCTGTGTTCTTATAGGCTATACAAATATGGAAATATTATTGCGGGTCTGATTTATAATAAGCTAGAAAGTAACCCACTAAGCATTATATTATATGAGTGTGAGTGAGATACAACAACAAACTGAAAGTGCTGAACCATACAGGACATGGACTGCTAATTGCAACTAAAATATGGTTAAGGGCTTCGCCTGGGTAAAACGAGTCTGTCCGCCGAAGTTGTCCGAAGTTATATTAGTTTACCCTGAGATTCACATACCCACGACTACAGCGCCCTCTATGCGTGGCCACACATTTTATATTGAAATCATAGGGTTAATAGCAGACCATGTATTGTACGGTCTAAGGATGGCATTCGCGCGTCTTTTAAGTAGGGTAGTATCATTGACACACTTAATTACCACTGTCAATGGCAACATTGGTAAAGTGGAGGAGTGCATTGCTCGCGTAGATAAGACTGTAACGGCCAACAGACACATCACATGAAGAGGCACTTGAAAAGACGCCGTTTCATGTCGAACGCCGAGGTGCCGAACAAGGACTGTGATTGGATCGTCTCACGCCCGAGGGAATTCTGGGAGCAGGGTGAGGCAATGGAATTAAACCACATTAACACATTAACGGTTATAGAAAATTTCATCAAAAGAATTCATCTATTCTATTCCAGTAGAGCCGTGGATGCCACTTACTTTAAAAAACTTCATTTAAAAAAATCGCCATTAGTAATTAACCTGTGTCTTCTACTAAAATTACTTCTTCTTGCGTACATTTTGGGACACCCTCTATATTATAATTCCATTAAAATCTTCAGTATGAAAGCTATTGATATTTCATAATACTTTTTACAGTCGTTCCCAGCGATTTCGTACCGCCTCTCTTTTTTTCCATTACCGTACCCCGTTCCCATGGTAATTTCAGGGAGTGGTTTCGGAGTACACCTTTACGCTCTACGTTTCTAAATTTCAAGTCGCTATCTGCCGCAGTTTCCACTGTAAAACGTAAAATGCCGTTTTTTCCAGTTCCCGTTCCCATGGGAATTTCGGAAGTATTTTACTAAATCTGAAACCTTCTCGGACATCCATCAACTATTCCCCAAAGTTACATTGCATTCGGATCAACGGTTTAGGAATGCATAGGAGACCTACAGATAGACATACATTTTTACTTACAAACTGTATAGAAATAGCTGGTCACGCGGGTCTGTGTGACAACCTACATGAACGACCATCCTTAAGATGGCGAAATTTAGAAATGCTAAATAATATCTGAAATTTAAAAAAAATCTGCATAGTCCGGGAATCGAACGCGCAATCATTTTTACCCAAAATCGTCCTGAAACCTTCATTTTCATGCCTACTTTCTGTCAGTCAAATATTAGTTTCCATAACAGAGGCAGAACAGACTACGTTTTTTGGCACTTTTCACTTTACTGGCCGCACCTGTCACTTTACCGGCCGCATCTGTGACATTGCTAAATGTCTATAATGATTACTGTCATCACTGACAGATTGACATTAATCAAAAGTTCTCTATAAAAATTGAAATTAAAACACGATTTCGGGTAAAATTTAACACAAAACTCGTCAGTAAAATAACATTA